CCATGCTATTTCACCACCTCCAAGTGAATATGATCATTGTTCTCAATCTTTACTCATTCCTTGGGCTGTTTGCCAGCTGCATGGTGGTCTAGAGTCTCCTCAGCTGCTGCCTCACCAGGCGTGCACAGAAGGAGCACGCAAGCAGCGCGGAGAGTGGCAGAAGTTTCTGGTTTTTAAGCCTCACTCCTCCTCTTTTCTCTTGTGCTCACAAGCTCAGGTGCTCCCGCCTTTGGCACTTGCAGATTTAAATCCCACAAGCCCTGCCAATTTCAGTTCCTTGCTTTTGCAAACCATTTACACACTTTCTTGTGAAGCCTGCCCTGCTTCTCCTAGGAAGCTTCATTATGTGAGTAATAAAACTTTCATACCCTCTTGGGATGTGTGTATGTGTGTGTGATCATCAGTCTTAATATGCCAACCAAATTTTATGGGTAGTACCTGCAAATTGGAAAAGAAATGGGTATCACTATTTCCAACAGTTAGGAATAGGTACCGATGTCTTTTTTCACAGGTGACATGATCATCTATGTAGAAAATCCAATGGAACCTCCAAAATTGTAGTAGAAACACTAAGTGACCTTAGCAAAGTAACAGGCTACAAGATCAACGTACAAAAATCAATTGTATTTCTATATGCTGGCAAGGAACAATTGGAAATTAAAATTTTTAGAAATGCCATTTACAATAGCATCAAAAAATCTGAAATATTTGGGGATAATTCTTACAAAAGATTTCACTACCTTCAAAAACTACACAATATTCCTGAGAGAAATGAAAGAGGATCTAAATGGAGATATATACTGTGTTCATGGGTCACAAGATTCACCATTTTAAAGATGTCAATTCTTCCCAAATTCATCTGTATTTTCAACACAATTGCAATCAAAATCTCAGGAGTTTTTTTTTTTTCCATTTCTGTTTTTTGGTATAAATTGACAAATTCCTTCTAAAACCTTTCCGAGGTCTTCACCTAAAAGAAATGAAAATCTAGTTCACACAAAAAACTTTACACAAATGTGTACCGCAGCTTTAGTTATAACGGCCAAAAGTTTCAAACAACTCATGTTCTTCAGTGACTGATTGACTAAAGAAAGTGTAGTACATTCTACTCAGTAATAAAAAGGAATGAATTACTTACACATGTAACATATCTGAATCTCCAGGGAATTAAGCTGCATGAAAAACCAATGCCTATATTACATATTTTATCATTCCATTTATTTAAGATTCTTGAAAGGTAAAATTACAGAGATGAGAGAACAGATTAGGGTTGCCCGGCCTTGAAGAGGAAGCTGGGGGCAGAAATGACGTAGGGGTGGCTATAAAAGGACACATGAAATATCTTTGTAATGATGAAAATATTTTAAATCTTGACTGTGTCAATGTCAATATCCAGGTTGTGATATTATATATAATATTATATATAGTTTTGGGAGATGTTGTCATTGGGAGAAACTGGATAAAGGGCACATGGGATTTCTGGATTATTTCTTCCAACTGTATGCAAATCTAGAATTATCTCAAGTAAAAAATTAAAATTTAAAAAAAGCGAGGCCAAAACGTAAATAAATTCTAAAGTGGTAGACCAAAACCCAACTACATTAAATGTAAATTCACTAAATATGTCAAACTAAAGAGTAAGATTGTCATTATTTTTAAAATAATGCTGTTTAATAACATACGCACTTTAAAAAATAAAACAGGTTAAAAGCAAAAGGGTAGAAAGAGATAAACCATGCACTAACCAAAAGAAGGATGGTGAAACTATAGTAATATCAATATAGACCAGACAAAAAAGCAATTATTATAAAGAGAAAATTCTATAAGAGCCTGTTGGATCAATCCATAAGAAAAGTTACAACTCAAAATATATATCATCCAATAAGAGAGCTTCAAAATATGTAAAGCAAAGTTAACAGTAGTCAAAGGAGAAATAAACAAATCTACAAGCATAAAAAATCAGAAAGCTGGACGGACATAGAACAATTAATTGTTCTTTTATCATCTCTTAATAAAATGATAAGGAAAAATAATTCTTACAGTAGACAAAAAAAAAATTACTATTGGTAGAGACAAAAGACAAGCAAAACTTATTTGGAGGACTTGTTCTGTCTTATGTAGTGTTTGACTGGGAGTCTCTTGTCCCTTCTTAGATATTCACACTATGAAAAAATGCCCTGTATTGCCTAGTGAAAAGAAGACTATCTTCTACTGCATCCTGGAGGCAACATAGTCATGTGGCCTTTATATAGCTTCATGGTAAGCTTATGAGTCAGAATCCTCTCTGATACCTTCAACAACCACAAGGTCCTGATATTTAGCATGCTGTAGTCTGCAGCATTTTGTTCTTTGTCAACATACCATAGCAGAAAAACACTGGGTTAGTGTTTTCATAGACATTTTCTCCATTTTAGTCTCTACTGCAAAATTATTGCAGTCTTCAATTTTCATTGTCAATAGTTTTTTAATTTTTCTGGAGTCAGAGCCAAACGCACATGAAATGCTGAAAAAAAGAGTGAGATCTCTGAAGCAGAAGTGACATATAGCCTGCTTTGTTAGATTTTTAGGTTTTTGCTCCTGGTTATTTCTCTACTTTCCCCCGTAGACTTTCCACTCTCGACATGACCTTTCCATTTGATGGCTCAATGTCTTTGCCCTCTTCAACAGTATCTTTCTAAATTACCAGTATCACCTTTGTCCATGTAACACACACTGAATATGGAGTAACACAGAATTAAAAAGCATGGGTGTTTCAGTAATATGGATCCACAAAGCTCTAAAATTCCTCCCATTTACTATCTTGGTGACTGTGGTTTATTGATAACCTTTAAGTTTCAATATTGTAACAGGGGCCAGTCAGAAACGCAGAAACACACAAAGAATAACACAAGGACACTGTCTCTGAAAAAAACGCAGGATCGGAATCAAACGGTCACAAGAACATACAACGCGACCATGGTCACACAGATGGTCGCGAATTCGCATGACCCCCAAAGTCACTGGATCTCAGAGTCTCTCGACCCCGCAGACACCCTACCCCAAGTTCCACGGCCGATATCTCCCACACACGGTCACACAACGCCACTCCTCTCTTTTCTGACTGCCGCCAGAAGCTTGAGGCTCAAGCTGGCCCGTCTAGTCCCTCCACGGGCCCCTAATGTTTTCGCCCACCTTCACCCCACTGAAGTCCGGGAGGGGCCTGGACCAGACGGAACTACACCGATTCAGCGGCGCTTCCTTCGCGGATCATGCACCATAACCCCGGGAACAGGAGACCCAGCCAACCATAAGGAGCAAGAGACTTTTCGCAGAAAATTGACTTGGCCGTGAAGACCTCTGGGAAATGTAGTTCGTATCCTAAAGTTGTGAACCCTTTCAGATTCTTCTCAGCACCAAGTTGCACTCCCGGGCTCCGAGTGGAGTGCCCGGCTCAAGCGAAGCAGCTGCAGCAAAACTCAGCTGAACCTCCTCGGCAGATCTGGACGTCCTTAAACGCAGCGGTAGATTATTCCCGCTACTCACGGGCAGGGAAGCCGACCCGCCCCCCCCTCCCCCGTGAGCCGCGGGGGCCTGTGGGAAGGGTTCGCCGGCGTCTAACGGACCGAAGCTCGTGCTGCCCTCAGGCGCCGCCGGCGCTGACCTTAGAGGCGCCACAGACTCGGTCCGCACCGGCGGTGCCACTTGGGCGGCACTGAGGTGTGGAACTGTGCCTTGTCTCCGCGGGTTCGCTGGTGAGTCTCCGGGAGGCCGCGAGCTCTGAGTCGGGGACCCTTTGTGCTGGTTGGGAGTAGGGGCCTGCGGACCCGCTGCCTGTGGTACTGGAGGAGGATGCCGGCGGGGCTGTGCGGGTGCGGCTGTTTCCCCGAGGCGGTGGGAGGGGCCCGTGAAGGACTGGGAGTGTAGATGTGACTGTTTGCCAGACATTTGTTTGCGACTGAGTGTGGCCGTGAGACCGTGTGTGAGCGGATTTGGGGGACGTGCTTTTCCTTCTGTTTCATTATGAACGTGGATGCGAACGTTCGTGATATGGGATCGTGAGTGCTTGAGAAGCTCCGTGGAGGAAAGGTAGAGCACGGCTGTGTGTGTAGATTTGTGCGGCTTTTTGTACCAGGGCTTCATTTCTTTGGTTTATGGTAATTGGAAATACGTTTTTATGAGAGCTACCAATAGCCCCAACACTTTTAGTATTTATTTATCTTAAATTTTATTTTTGTGTATTAGCCACGTTGTTTTATGTGCCTACTAACTTCTTGCCCCATGCCCCCGACTGCCCGCCCCAAATCACAAAATATAGAAAAGCTCAAAGAAAATAAAAATCATTCCGAATTCTGCCAGCAACTGTCAAAATTTACATACCATCTTTACCCCCTCTGTGAATACATACACACCATTCATTTATTAACACATATGTGCATAATAGCTTGGAAATTGTTATTACACTATACATACAGTTCTGTAACCTACCTTTGTCATTTAACAATACACCGTATCTTTCCATTTAAATTTATGTCGTCATTTTAAAGTTTTTCATGGTATACATTTTAATACATTTACCCCTGTTGATGGGTAATTTGTTTTATCCAGTTTCTTGCCATTATGAACAACGTGTTTATCAGCAATTAGTTGTCATATGTTATAATGCGCTTTTCTAATTTGTGGGGGGGGGAGGGAAAAGGTTCCTAGAAGTGTAACTGATTGGGTAATATGTATGTGTTTATTAAAGATTCCCTAAGTCTATCCAGTTATTCTCCTGTAAGGTTCAAATAATTTACACTATTATTGGCCTAGTATAAGATTGCCTATATCCATATACCCTGATAACAATGGTTATCTGCTATTAGTAATTTTTGCTAACTTCACAGATATAAAATTTTCTTAATTTGCAGTTGTTTGGTTACTACTGATCAAGCATTTTAAAATTCTTTTTGTGTGTGTGTGAATTATGTATTTCCCAAAATGTTTTTCTAAAGCAGTATTCTGTTTTCAAATTTATTTTCTAGATTCTTCAGGTATTCATTTATTCATCAACACACCATTTATTGACTGCTATCTGTGTGACAGGAACAGTTCTAGATGCTTCAGGTATAGCGCTGAACAAAAGAGAAACACTCTGCTGTCATGGTACTTATATTGTCGTGGTCCAGATAATAAATGAGGTGAGTTAAATATAACATATATTCAGCAGTGAAAAATATTAAGAGAAAAACTAAAACAGAAGAACATACAGCATTTGAGAAGGGAATTAGGGTTTTAGATGGAGTAGCCAGGGAAGGCATCCTGAAAAGGTAATAATAAAGATTTGAAGGAAGTAAAGGGGCTATTCATGCATATAATTGAGGAGGCTATTTATGCATATAATCTAGGCAGCGTGCACAACAGTTTAAAAAGTCTTGAGGTGGGACAAACCATAAGTGACTCTTAATCTCACAAAACAAACAGAGGGTTGCTGGGGGGAGGAGGGGAGAGAAGGGGGGGTGGGGTTATGGACATTGGGGAGGGTATGTGCTATGGTGAGTGCTGTGAAGTGTGTAAACCTGGCGATTCACAGACCTGTACCCCTGGGGATATAAATACATTATATGTTTATAAAAAAATTTAAAAAAAAAGTCTTGAGGTGGGAACATGTCTGTTATAGCAAAGAGATTGGTGTGGCTGAAAAAGAGCAAATGAAATGAAGACTAGTGAGAAATGAGAGAAGGTAAGTGGAGGGAAGGGGGCAGATCAGGTTGAATCTTATGGGCCATATTATGATTTTGGCTTTCACTGTGAATGAGCTGGGAAGCTGTTGGAGATTTTTGATCATGGGAGTGATATTACCTGTTTACGATATAAGTGGATCACTTTGGCTGCTCTGATAAGAGAACTATAGGAGGAAGGCTGGGGTGGGGGGTCAAGGCCAGAAGCAGAAAGACCAATTAGGAATACAATAAGTACAATAATCTAGGGAAAAGATGTCGATGATCTGGACCAGAGTAGTAAAAATGGTGAGAAGTCATGTATTCGATATAATTTAAAGGTAGAGCTGATACAGTTTGCTGATGGAACTGATGTGGAATGTAAGTGTGACAAGATAACAAAACATTTTTTAATCTGAGCAACTTGAAGAATGGAGTTATCATTAACTGAGAAAGGAAAGACAGTAGGAAAAACTGACGTGGGGCATAAGGAGATAGTGAGATTTCAGTTTGGAATTTAGTATATGAAGCATGGGATGTCCACTAGACATCCAAGTAGAGATACTAAGTTGGTAGTATGATATATAAGTCTGAAGTTCAAAAGGATCTAAGATCTAGGCTGAAGACATAAATTTGGGTATTATCAGTATATAGATGATATTTAAAGTGAAATTACTGAATGAAATCAGTTAGAGGGTAAGATAGATAGAAAAAGGTAGAGGTAAAGGACTTGTCTTTGGATCAGTCCAATAAAGTCTAGTAAATGAGGAGGAACCAGCGAAGAGGATTGACAGGAGCTAGTTGGAATGGTTGGAGGGAGGGTAGGTGAGTTTGATTTCCTGGAAACGAAAGAAAAAAATGTGTGTTAAAAAGAACTGTGTCAGTGCTGCTGATAGGCCAAAGTAAAATGAGGACTGAGAAAAGAATGTTGACATTAGCAACATGAAAGTCATTGGTGATCCTGAAGATCAGTTTCAGTGGAGTAATGGGGCTAAAGAGAAAAATGGAGAAGAAAATTGGAGCTACATGGGGCGCCTGGGTGGCTCAGTGGGTTAAAGCCTCTGCCTTCGGCTCAGGTCACAATCCCAGGACCCTGGGATTGAGCCCCACATGGGGCTCCATGCTCAGCAGGGAGCCTGCTTCCTCCTCCCCCCCACCCCCCCCACCTTTCTGCCTACTTGTGATCTCTGTCTGTCAAATAAATAAAATATTTAAAATAAATAAATTAACTAATTTTTTAAAAATGGAACTACAAAGTATAGACAACCCTTCAAGTTTTTCCTCTGTAAATGGAAAAGGGAGGGAAATGAAGGGGTAGATGGAGTTGGATTTAACCAGAGTGTTGGTTTTGTGAACTAATTAGGAATAATGTGAGAGGCAAGAGTGTCTAAATTTGCAGGAATTAATTATATTGATTGTGAATTTTAGGCCAGGTAGGTAGAAAAGTCAAGATAGGAAGGTGAGGGATAGTGGAAAATTGGTAGAACAGAGGAATGGAAGTTCTGATGGGGTTGGAGAACTGTTGGGTTGGTTGTAAGGTGGAGAGATTGGAGGATATTTGCCCTTTAGTTGTCCACTGTTTTAAAAATAGAACTGTCTTCCTTTTTACCAACATACCAGTTTAAGAAAACATGAGAGATTATCAGCTACATTTCAGTAGGGGTTACAAAATGATTTCTATCTATATCCCTTCTTCATTTACTGGCTGGAATATTTTTTTAAAGAAAAAAAATTTCTGTCATCAACTCTTTGGTTACCTTGAGGAAAGTTTTTACAGGAAAAGTAGAATAAATCGATTCTTTCCCTTTTTAGGTTTTCAGGCTATTGAATTGGTTTCTTAGCATTTCCCAGTGAATGATTATTTTACTGTTACATACACATCAATTTTAACATATTTGAAATGATTCAAACCATTGTGGTTATTTCCTTTGTGAAGCTCAAATTTTCCCATCTTTGGTTATCTCTTTGAGAGGCCTCTAAGTCTTTCCAACACATCTCCAGAAGTCTTTGATAATGTTCTATGTTCTGGTATGAAGGGTTATTCCAAGATCATTTTGAACATTTCCTGCCCTAGGCATGGAATCAAGCATTTCTTTATGGTCAACTAACCTACAACAAAGCGGGAAAGAATATTCAATGGAAAAAGGAAAGTCTTTTCAGTAAGTGTGTTACTTGGGTTACTTGTGTTAAATGGGTACTTTTTTTTTTTTTTTGAAGGGCACAAACTACCAATATAGTTTTTTTTCCATAGTACTTTTGGCAAAGTTTATTCATCCATGTATTAAAGGTATTTTTTTAACTTTTAATAGTCATTTTTTAAAATTTCTTTTCAGTGTAACAGTATTCATTGTTTTTTGCACCACACCCAGTGCTCACAAACTACCAATATTTACGCAATAAGAAATAATCTGAATCGTATATTTATTAAGGAAATTGAATTTGTGTTTAAAAACCCATGATACCAGGGCACCTGGGTGGCTCAGTGGGTGAAAGCCTTTGCCTTTGGCTCAGGTCATGATCCCAGGGTCCTGGGTTCGAGCCCTGCATCGGGCTCTCTGTTCAGCAGAGAACCTGCTTCCCCTTCTCTCTCTGCCTGTCTCTCTGCCTACTTGTGATCTCTGTCTGTCAAATAAATCTTTAAAAACAAAACAAAACAAAACAAAAAACCCATGATACTAAAAGCAAAAGCAAGGAAATTAAAAACAAACAAGTGGGACTACATAAAACTGAAAAGCTTATGCACAGCAAAGGAGACCAAGAAAATAAAAAAGCAGTCTCCTAAATGAGAGAAAATATTTACAAATCACATACCTGATAAAGGAGTTTATAAATATATAAAGAACTGATAAAACTCAATAGCAAAAAACCCCCAATCCAATTTTTAAAATGGGCAGGAGAGCTGAATAGGCATTTTCCCAAAAAAGACATACATACATACAGATACATGAAAAGGTAAAGTGATATTCAGCAATTAGTGATCTGGAAGTGCAAATCAAAGCCACAATGAGGTGTCACCTCATATCTGTTAGAATGGCTATTATTGAAAAGACAAGGAAAAACAAGTGTTGGCAAGGATGGGGAGAAAAAGAAACACACTTATGCATTGTTGACTGGAATGTAAATTGGTAGAGCCACTATGGAAAATAGTTGAAGTTTCCTCAATAAATTAAAAATATAAATGATCCAACAATCGTACTTCTTGGTATTTATCTGAAGAAAACAAAAACACTAATTTAGAGAGATTCATATACCCCCATGTTTGTTGCAGCATTATTTACAATAGCCAAGATATGGATACAACCTAAGTGTCCCATTGATAGATGAATATGTAAAGAAAACCTGTGTGTGTGCATGCACGTGCACATACATACATACATAACAATGGGATATTATTCAGTCATAAGAAAGGATGAAATCTTGCCATATGTGACAACATGGATGGACCTTGAGGGCATTATGCTAAGTGAAATAAGTCAGAGAAAGAGAAGTACTATATAATTTCTCTTTTATGTGTAATCTAAAAAAATAAAACAAATGTCACCCTAAGATACCAAGCTCATTGATAAAGCCAACAGACTGATGGTCACTAGAGGCAGGGGGTTGGGTAGAGGATGAGAGAAATAGGTGAAGGTAGTCAAAAGGTACAAACTTATGGTTTAAACTTAAGCCCTAGGGATGTAATGTACAGCATGGTGACTATAGTTAACAATATTGTATTGCATGTGTGAAAGTTGCTAAGATAGTACATCTTAAAAGTTTTCACACAATAAAAAAATTATTGTAACTATGTAAGGTGATAGATGTTAACTAGACTTACTTGGTGATCCTTTCACAATGTACTCAAATATTGAATCATAATATTGTACACCTGAAACCTATATAAGGCCGTATGTCAACTAGACCTTTTTTTTTTTTTTTTAAGATTTTATTTATTTATTTGACAGAGAGAGAGAGTGAGCACAAGCAGGGGGAGCAGGAGAGGGAAAGGCAGACTCCCTGCTTAGCAGGGAGCCTGATGCAGGGCTCCATCCCACAACCCTTGGGATCATGACCTGAGCCAAAGGCAGACAGATGCGTGACTGACTGAGCCACCCAGGCACCCTTAATTATACCTTAAATGAAAAGACTTTCTAAAAAGGAAACTAAACACCCAGATGATTTCACAAGTGAAATAGCAAACAACTAAGGAAGAAATCATAACAATTGTATATAAACTTTCCCAGTAAGTAGAAGAACACTTGTGAGCTGAACACTTGCCAACTCATGTTATGAGACCACCCTTACCCTGGTACCAAAACCAACAGAGACCTTACAAGAAAAAAAACTGCAGACTAGTATTTCTCATGGACTAAAAATAAAAATCTTCAACATCGAAATGAAAAATTGAATCTAGCGATATAAAAAGGATAATATATCCTGTCTAAATGGGTTGTTCATTTTGGGAATACAAAATAATTTTTTAAAAGATTTATTTGAGAGAGAGAGAACATAATTGGGGTTGGGGGGCAAAGGGAGAGGGAAAAAAAAATCCTCAAGCAGACACCCCACTGAGTGGGGAGCCCAGTGCAGGGCTCAATTCCAGAAACCTGAGATCATGACCTGAGCCAAAATCAAGAGTTGGCCACTGAACTGAGATACAGGCACCTTAAGATAAATTTTAAGTTCATTATTTGAAAATTAGTTACTGTAATTCACCAGAAGAGAGTAAAGAATTATATGATCATTTTGATAGATGCGAAAGAAGCACTTGACAAAATTCAGCATTTATTCATGAAGAAAATAATTCTCAGCAATTTAAGAGCAGAAGGGAATGTTCTTTATTAACGGTCCAAAAAAAAAAAAAAAACAATACTAGAGCTTACATTATACTTAGTGTTGAGATAATGCTTTACCTCTAAGATTGGCAACAAAGTGAAGATGTCCTCAGACCACCATTTTTCACCGTTATATTGGAAGTCCTAACTAGTGCAATAAAGCAAGAGAAAGACAAAGACACACAAATCAGAAAGGAAGAAATACAGCTGTTCTGTTGGAGACAACACAACTATTTAGATAGAAAACCTCAAAGAGTCTAGAAAAAAGCTCCTAGACCTCTTAAATGAATTTAGCATGGTTGTAGGATACACAATCAGTATATAAAGTTAAATCATTTTTATATTCCAGCAATGAACAAATTGAATTTGAAATAGAAATTTATTAGCATGCCCCAAATTAAAGTACTTAAAAATAAATCTCACAGAATATGTGTATACCCTGTATGCCGAAAATGAAAAAAACTATGATGAAAGAAATAAAAAATAAGTGGAGAAATATAAAAAATAAGTGGAGAAATAAAAAATAAGTGGAGAAATAGACTCCTATTTTCATTTGATCTTTAATTTGATCTATAGATTAAATGCAATCTCAGTCTCATTCCTAGCAATCTTTTTTATAGATAGCAATGAGGATGGAGGTGGAACCTAAAATGGAAGGCAGAATGAGACAAATTTATTTACATGTACTATTATATAAATGTAGGACCTAACTGTGTTGAAGGTGACATAGAAGAAACCCTAAATAAGAGCTCTCATTTCGGGGCGCCTGGGTGGCTCAGTGGGTTAAGCCGCTGCCTTCAGCTCAGGTCATGATCTCAGGGTCCTGGGATCGAGTCCCGCATCAGGCTCTCTGCTCAGCAGGGAGCCTGCTTCCCTCTCTCTCTCTCTCTGCCTGCCTCTCCATCTACTTGTGATCTCTGTCTGTCAAATAAATAAATAAAATCTTAAAAAAAAAAAAGAGCTCTCATTTCTTTTCATCATTTGTAAGCCCTTAACTAAAATATAATTTTTGTTGAACCATCCTTCATATTCACATACTGCTGCTATTAGAAATTTTTTTTTTTTTTTTAATTTGAGAGAGAGAGCAGAGCAGGGTAGGGGCAGAGGAAAAGAGAATCCCAAGCAGATTCCCCGCTGAATGGGAACCTGGTGCAGGGCTTGATCCCAGCACCCTGAGATCATGACCTGAGCCTGATATCGAGACCTGAGCTGAAGGCAGACGCTTAACCAGTGGAGCCACCTAGACGCCTCTGCTGCTATTAGAAATTCTGTGATGAAATCCATCATGGGGCACCTGAGTGGCTCCGTTGGTTAGGAAGGGAAAGAGGAAAGAGAGTAGAGGGAGTCCTGATTGGTGTCCACTCTTCAGCTAGTTGATGAATTCAGTTCACCGTAAGCAATTGCTTTTAAATAAAATAATTCTCTTTTAATCTGTACCCATGCCCACCTTTTAATAGACCGGTGTCCACTACTAGAACTGGAACAGTCCTGACAACAGAATGTGCTGGTATGCACCTTCAGGCCCAAGGGGCTGCTATATTCAGGAGATAATATGCAGAAAAATAAAATATCACAAATTTTTCCATATCTGTTCTCCCCTAGTAAATACCTTAACTCCTGTTATCCAGTATTGTGTCACCTTGTAACTCAGAGCTGCAAGGGTTGCTGGAAAAACGGGTAACAGGAAAAGGGGAATAGGATTACCTTCACTGTCCTGGATCAATCATGATTCATCCTTGGGAGAATGTATATTTCCATGTGAAAAAAATTAAAGTTCAGTTTTCAAGGAATAAAGTGAGGACAATTGGCTATTGTTGGTAACATTGTCTGCCACATATAGCCTTTTGGAATATGCTGGTTCTCTATCCTTAGCAAGGTATCAAATTTTCTTTACAGAATTTTGCACTGTTATTGCTGGGGAACTACTGAGACACCCATTTTATTCTGCTGTTCTCGCTCTCTTTTTTTTTTTTATTTGAAAGAGAGACAGACAGTGAGAGGGAACACAAACAGGGGGAATGGGAGAGGGAGAGAGAGAAGCAGGCCTCGAGCTGGGCAAGGAGCCCAATGTGGGGCTAGATCCCAGAACTTTGGGATCATGACCTGAGCGGAAGGCAGGTGCATAACTACTGAGCCACCCAGGTGCCCCTCTGCTATTCTCTTTTAAGGATTGATTATAGTGGTTCTAAGAATGTGGGGTTCCCAGGGTCACAGTGCTTATTAGTGGTAGAGAGACTAGAAAGCAAATCTCTGCTCCCAAGTCACTGTACTTTCCCATTATAATTCATCTGTCCTAAAGCTTTTCTAAAAAGATGCTTTAAGAAAAAACTTCAGATGAGTGACAAAAATCAATTACAATCCAACAACCAAAAAATTTTTTTTTACTTAAAGTAAAACTGGGAAAGGAACTGTGCGTGGGGCGGGGGAGGACATCTGTGTTGTTCATTATACACTGTAGTACTGATTGCAATGGTATGTGTTTTCTTGATTAAATTTTATTTTGGAGAAAATAATAGGTGAATTTTTATTTTAAAAACTGAGATAATGCTACTAGACTTGTAATAATATGAAAAACTATGTCCTGTTTATTTTTCCCCATCCCTAATTCCTGTTTCTAACGAGAAAGCACTTTCAGCTCCTAAGTGTGATTTCTTATATTTTCTTCAATTTTTCCAAATCACGTTTATCTTGTTATTATTTGACACTTTATGGATTTATATGTAAATCTTTATTTACATATTTACTATGTAAATATGTATTTTTACTATTTTTTACTATGACAAATAAGAATTTAACTCTCTTACCACCACCAATATCTCTGATACACATCACTCAGACACACAAACTTCTTACTTCTTCTTTGAAATACCATTTTGGGTAAATTCCCATTTAATTGGTAATGTCGCAATACATTAAAATACCTTATATATTTTGTCAATTTCATAATTTTCTTGGTTATGTTCTTTCATGAAGCTATATAGCTTACTGTTCCTTGTGAACTGTTTTGTTTTCTGATACAGAGCTATTGACAAATTCATGGGACATCTCCCACATACAAGCTCTTATTCTGACCCACCTTATGCCTAAACTATGCATGATCATTTTAGTCATCCTTATACCTGTCAGCACCTCTGGTATGAATATTCTTGGCCTTTCTGATGGATCCAAGAATCATTTACAGGGTGACCTTTAATCCACTGTGTGGGTGCAGGTTTCTGAAACCACAAAGTGTGCCTGGTCTAATGGCTTTTCTTCTCTTTCACAGCTTTGCCTTTTCAAGCCCTATTACCAGAAAGAGGAAATGACTGAATCCCAGGTAAGTTTTAAGTAGTATATTTGTTCTCTACTATATTCTGTAGTGTAGTTGAAAAGGATTATAATAATCCGTACAGTAAATTGGAAAATCCTATATAGATAAACTTTGTCAGAGGAAAGTTGGAAGATTAAGACCAGGAAAGAGTTAAAATATGGTAATGCAGAAAGGTATTAAAGTTGGGCTTTAGTTTTCAGTTTCATTATTATAGGTGAAACAAACCAGCACAAAAATTCATGACATAATTTGCATTGTAAATAAAGATTAAAATGAACTTTTCTTAGGAGAAGTAAGCTCTTCTTTGGCACCTCGGTCAATGAATATATTAGAGTGTGACCTCTTATAGTTGACAAATCCAGCTATTGTGATGGTCTCTTTTGATAAAGGATAAAACAAAGTATATATGTTAAAAAATAGCCAGCATAGGAAAGAATGCAAATGAAGATTATCAGAAAAAAGGATTAATTATCCCTTGCATGCAAAGGAAGACCACACAACAATTTTTTTAAAATGGCAGATACTGGTTACCCACAACAATATAGATAAATTTCAGAAACATTGGAGTGAGAGAAGCCAGAAACAAAAGATACGGTTCCATTTATATGCAATTTGAAAGCTGGGAAAACTAATCTCTTGTGATAGAAATCAGGATAGTAGTTACCTTAAGAGAATAGTAACTGGGAAGGGGTGGGAGAGAATCTTCTGGAGTGCTGAAAATGTGGTTGTTTTGACCTGATTACATAAATATTTAAATGTATAAAAGTGTATCATGTACATTTAAGATTAGTGCATCTTAGGGGTGGCTGGCTGCTTCAGACAGTAGAGCATGTGACACTTGATCTTGCAGTTTTGAGTATGAGCCCCACATTAGGTGCAGAGATAACTTAAAAATAAAATCTTAAAAAAAAAGGTTAGTGCATTTCACCACATTATTCTCTGTGTGTCATATATAATTTAAAGAATACTAGAATGTCCGAAGAAATAGATGAGATATGTGTATCTCAAATGACCCTACATAATTATATTTTTTCGGTGGGTATTTACTGTAGATTGGGCCACAGTCTAATAATTTCTGGTCAATTATTTTAGTCCACTGAAATGTGAACAGAGAATATGCTTTATTTGGTTTACTGATGTGTCTCCAGCCCCTAGAACATTCTGTGCCTTGTATACATAGTTTTTGTGAATATTTGTGGTTTTAATGTCTTGAATCCATGGTTCCTTGTTTTTTTACTCTTAAAATAAGTGATATTGGGATGCCTGGGTGCTCAGTCAGTTAAACAAGTGCCTTCAGCTCATGTCATGATCTCAGGATCCTGGTATCAAGCCCTGCAGCGGAGCCCCATATTGGCTCCCTGCTCAGCAGGGAGTCTACTTCTCCCTCAGCCCTTCCCCCTTATGCTCTCTCTCTCTCTCAAATAAAATCTTAAAAAAAAAAAAAAAGTAGTTGATATCCACCTCCTCTTCAAGGATAATTCCTTTTCCTCAGAACTTCATCTTTCATACTTTCTTTGGAACCTTTATCTTTCAGATTTATCCTGCACTCTTAGCTATTAAACATATCTCATTTTACTGCTTTTTCATCCTCAGGTCAAAGCTTTCATATACTGAGATATACCTTTCTTTGACTGTGTATCCGTATATAGCAGCTTCTCTATATATCCAGTTTTTTTCTTCAAACACATTAATTTTCAAAGTGAACACACTGTCAGTGTGTAACTTGCAAAAGCAATAGATCAAGAATTAGAACATTACCCTAACAACCATGAGATTTCTTCTGCACTTTTCTAAAGTCATTACCCCTACCCCAGGGGTAACCACTATTCAATTTCTATCACTACAGATTATATCTGCCCGAGTTTGAACCTCATTAATATATATACTCTGTGTCTGGCTTCTTTTGCCCAATACTGTGTGTGTCAGATTCATGTTGAATTACTGCATGTAGTTATAGTTTGGTTAATTTCCTTGCTTTATATTATTCACTTATGTGAATAAATCATCATTTTATTTATCCATTCTATTATTGATTGCCATTTAGGTAGTTTTTATTTGAGGACAATTACAAATATTGCTGCTATGAATTTTCTTATAGCTGTCTTTTGTTGCACGTATGTACACTTTCTTTTGTATATAAACCAAAAGTAGAATTTCTGAGTTATAGGTCGTATACATAGCTTACCTTTTATTGATACTGCCAAATGGTTTCTGAAGTGACTGTCCAAAATTTCACTTTAAAAGAAAGGAAAAGTTTGTGTGTTCATATCAGGTATGATAAAAGTCAAAACAGTAAGCTTTAAACAAACAAAAAGAACAGAGCTTTAAAATGAGTGCAATAGATAATACAGATCAATGGTTTAGGACTGCTTCCTTATCAGATAACCCAACAGCAAATTTACTATAAGTAACACTGAAAATAAGAAGATATGTATTGGTAGAGAAACTTTCATTAATGTCTTAACTCATGCTAGATGAACTAGATATAAAAAAATGTATCTACCAATAATAATTTGATAGAGCTAATAGATTAAGGTAGCTTATAGCCTCGAAACAGTTATTATTCCTTATTTGGATATGAAATAACTTAAAAACTGACCATGTATTAGGCATGAATAAAATTCAGTAAATTTCAAAAGTAGAAACCGTACATTTCAGTAGTTCCACAATGCAAGTAAATATGAAGTTAATAATAAAAGATTCAAAAAGAAAAACATTCACATGGAAACTTTTTAACTAGCATGAACAACCCAGACCAACAGGGACTTAAAAATTTATGTTGCAGAACATCCTTTTTTTTTTTATTTTAAATTTTATTTATTTATTTGACAGAGATCACAAGCAGGCAGAGAGGTAGGCAGAGAGAGAAGAGGAAGCAGGCTCCCCACTGAGCAGAGAGCCTGATGCGGGGCTTGATCCCAGAACCCTGGGATCATGACCTGAGCCAAAGGCGGCAGAGGCTTTAACCCACTGAGCCACCCAGGCGCCCCATTGCAGAACATCTTTAAAAATTAAACAATGCGCAGGGGCACCTGGATGGCTCAGTGGATTAAGCCTCTGCCTTCGGCATAGGTCATGATCTCAGGGTCCTGGAATTGAGCCCCGCATCCTGCTCTCTGCTCAGCAGGGAGCCTGCTTCCCCCTCTCTCTCTGCCTGCCTCTCTGCCTACTTGTGATCTCTCTGTCAAATAAATTTAAAAAAAAAATTTTAATCTTTAAAAAAATAAAACAATGCGCAGAAGAAAAGCTACAGCCTGAAAAAATGTTAATAAACGTATTAGAATGAAATGAATGAACAAAATATACCATTCTAGTAATTAGAAACAAAATGAGAAAATTTAAAAAGGAATTGGTAAGAATAAAGTTTAAGTCAGTGAGCTAGAAAAACACAAAATAATAGAACTAATAAAGAGCTTTTTTCTCTTTTTTTCTTCTTTCTTTCTTTATTATTTTAAAATCTAAGAAGAGGGAGGGAGAAGTAGAATAAACAGCCACATATGCAGCTCCCCAGGTTAGCAGATTTTAATCTTTTGTCATTTTTGCCTCAGGATTTTTTTTTTCAACAAAGTAATCAGAATATTACAGATACTTTGTCTCACAGGCAGTCACTTTTATGAATGTTATCTATATCTATAGAGCTCATAGTTTTATATTTTTACCACATGATTTTGTATATATAAACACTACTTGAAGTTGTTCTATGTTTTAGATTTTTAAATAACTGGGAACCCGATGGACTTAGAGTTCTGCAACTCATCTTTTTTTTCATTCCACATTGTGTTTTCAGACCCATTCATGTTAGGATATGTATTTCTGACTTTATGTCCTTTTCCATTGTTTTGACTTCCTGTGTCAATCCCGCTATATCTTAATTACCATATATAGTTCTAAAAATATTTATTCGATAATACAAGTTAATCCTTCATCTTTTTCTTCTTCAGCATTGCCTTAGCTACTTGTAGCTACTTATATTTCCTTATCGATTTTAGATTTAGTCTATTTCCACAATTAAATCTGCTGAGATTTTGACATCGAATTACATTCAAAAATATATTATCTACAAGTGAACAGTTTTCTTCATTTTAAATTCTCATGCCCCCTTTTTTTCTTGCCTAAGTTTGATTGTTAAATGTAGTATAATGTTGAATAGATGTGGTGGTGAGTGATCTTTGTCCCATTCTGTTTTAGGAGTATATATTCAGTAATTATGAGTAAGTATGATAATTTGGTGTAGGTATTTTTGTAAATACTCTTCTGGTTCAAAGAAATTTCCTTGTATTCCTAGTGTCAGTCATAATTTGGTGTTAAGTTTTGTCAAATACTTTCTTGTATATATGATCTTGATCAAAGTTTTCTCCATTTTTCTGTTAATTTGGTTACTCATGAAACTAACTTTGGTGGGTGTATACTCACTTGGGTTTTTCCTGGAGAGTTAATATAGTAGTTTATAATAAGGTATGTTTGACAGACATCAGAACTTTCTTGAAAGCAGATTTTGGTAGGTTGACTTCTGGCATTAGAAGGTAGGGTGGAACTAAGATATAAGTGCCTTTGCAAACCTGTTTTATTTAGCAGTTCCTATAGGGCCTACCACAAGTGCTCAATGAATGCTCTTTGGACAGAGATGTCCAAAACTATGAAGATGAATTTTACCTAATGCCAGTGCGATTCTAGTAAGGTCAATTTTGTGATTATAAATTCTTTAGAGAATTTGAACATTGTCAGACTCTCATTTACCTCCTCACAGCATCCATATTTTTTGTCTATTAACTTTATTTAGTGATTTCATATATATAAAGGTCACAGAATTACTGTACTATACTGAGATGTGCGTTAAAAATACAATTTATTAAAAATATGTTGACATCCTTTATGAATTCTGTTTAACAGAATGAAAAAAGCTAGTTTTTTTTTTAACATTTTAAAATTATTTTTTTAATAACATATAATGTATTATTTGCCCCAGGTGTACAGGTCTGTGAATAGTCAGGCTTACATACTTCCCA